GTAAAATACCAAGCCATTATAAATGATGTTGCACAAAGGTACATGGCCGTTGAAACACTATTGTGCATGTTGTATAATTGGCCTCTTACAGCAGATCTAACATTAGCCTTGCTGCCATGGGAACTTTAGGAATGAATGAACAGACAGAACTGTCCTTTGTGTTTGTGCCAAGGTTATGTGATAATTTACCGGAGAATCACTGGAGAGCTCTTCACACATGACAACTCACAAAAGACAGAGATTAATTCACATTCAGGTTTATTTATTGGATTACACCTGCAACTTAACTATTTTTATTTATTAGTGTGTTATTGAGTTAGAATTTGTCTTATCAACACAAAAGACCTAAAGCTCACAGGTTTTTAAACGACTCAGTTTTGTTCACATACTTTTATTTTTATTCCTCAATATTCAGTGAAGTTCAGTCAAACTTTCCTTTTTATATTAAATATTACATTTTAAAAATAATAAAAAAAAAATTCTTGTCAGTTTGCAGTTGTACTAGTTTTAGGGATTGTGACAATTTTTTGGGAGACACTCAATGCAAATCATTGATCATTTATTCATGCATTACAAGGGGTAATTGTTATATATATATACAGTGTTGGGGGTAACGCATTACAAGTAACGCGAGTTACGTAATCAGATTACTTTTTTCAAGTAACTAGTAAAGTAATGCATTACTTTTTAATTTACAAGAAAATATCTGAGTTACTTTTTCAAATAAGTAACGCCAGTTACGTTTTTTCCCCATTTATTGACTGAATGCTCTCCTGTGCCCATGTTGAGAGAAATCGGGAGTAAGATGTTACTTTAGTTCTAGAATAAATGTGAACATGCTTTAATTCATCTCACTCACTAAAAAGCAAAACAAAAAAAAACAGATTTAGTTTTCCTCAAAATTAATAAAAACAGTTAAAAGCAACTCAGAATATGACTCAAAGCTGCAATAATTAAATATGTTAAATAATACAAATATCCTTTATGTATTTAATCCCATTTTATTAACCAATTTGCTGCTGACCTTCGATGATCCAATTCAACCATACTAATAAGCAAAAATTACACAAGATAAGCTAACATTTCTTCTTCTTTTTTATTGCTGAAGAGTGTTGAACTTTCTTCTTCTGTGTATACTGTACAGACGTGAATTTACATTTCCTTCAGCCTGAGGCTTTTGGTGTGAAAGGGCTTTTACATTTGCCAAAAATATAACTTTTTATATTAAAAGCAAACAAGCAAGCCCTGCCCAGATTTAAAAAGTAACGCAAAAGTAACGTAACGCATTACTTTCAATAAAAAGTAACTAAGTAACGTAATTAGTTACTTTTTTAGGAAGTAACGCAATATTGTAATGCATTACTTTTAAAAGTAATTTTCCCCAACACTGCTTACCACGTCATTTGTACTACAGACACTGTTTTTTGAGAAGAGTTGTGGTAGTACTTTAAGTTATCATGTGTACCATTTTCGCCTGCCGGATGGAACAAAATTCCATAGACTTGTATATTCAGAGAGGGACCAATATATATGATCATCATAGAAACTTTGACTTTTAGGGTAAAATATTTTGACTTGAATCAATGTGTAACCAAATTGCAACCACCCAAATTATCCTAGAAATTGCATAGCAACTTACTAAACTTACCAAGAACATTTGAACCACATAACAAAATAATAAAACTGTTTAGAAGAAACCTTAAATGCATATAAACATGCAAAAACCTCTCAGAAAACGTTTGTTAATGCACAGCAACATGCTAAAACCACTCATAACACATTAGTACAGCCATAGCACATAGCAAAATGCTAAAACATATCAGACATGTTAAAACCACTCAAAACATGTTAGTAAAAGCATAGTAACATGCTATCACCCAATCACGTTAGTAAAGGCATAGCAACCTGCTAAAACCACTCAGAACACATTAGTAAAGGCATAACAACATGCTAAACCTCTCAGAACATGTTTGCTACGGTATAGCAAAACGCTAAAATCTCTGAGAACTTTATTAAAGGCATAACAAAATGCTAAAACCTCTCATAACACATTAAACGCATATCAACATAGCAATAGCAACATGCTAAAACCATAACACGTTGGTATAGCAAAATGCTAAAATCTCTGAGAACTTTATTAAAGGCATAACAAAATGCTAAAACCTCTCATAACACATTAAACGCATATCAACATAGCAATAGCAACATGCTAAAACCATAACACGTTGGTATAGCAAAATGCTAAAACCACTCATAACACATTAGTAAAGGCATACCAACATGCTAAACCTCTCAGAACATGTTTGCAAAGGTATAGCAAAATGCTAAAACCTCTGAGAACACGTTACTAAAGGGATACCAAAATGCTAAAACGTATCATAACATGTTATTAAATGCGTAGCGACATCTTAAAAGTACTCGAAACATATTAGTCAAGGGATACCAAAATGCTAAAACCACCCAAAACATGTTAGTAAAGACAAAGCAAAATGCTAAAACCTCTCATAACACATTATTAAACACATAGCAATGGTAACATGCTAAAGCTGCTCAGAACACACTAGTAAAGGTATAGCAGCATGCTAAAACCACTCATAACACCTTAGTAAAGGTATAGCAAAATGCTAAAACCACACATAACATGTTAATAAAGGTATAGCAATGTGCTAAAACCACTCAGAACACCTTAGTTGAAGTGGGTTTTGCACAGCCACACTTTTCAAAATGTAAAATTCTAGTTAGCTGGAAAATCAGTCTACTGACAAATTGTAATTCTCTAGGAAGTTGTTCACAGATTTCTAAAAAGTTAAGAGGCTCAGTCAGGACAAGTGCTGCTCTTTTTGAAGCTTTGTCTTTTTCAGAGAGAAGATAACATTGCCAAATATCCATCACATGAGCTGTTAGGATTTCACTTGCAGCTGTATTGTAAACTCTGTGTTTCCTGCAGACGCATGTGGCCTGTCAGATCCGGCGCACATCGAGAGCCTGCAGGAGAAAGCACAGGTGGCCCTGACCGAGTATGAGCGCATGCAGTATCCAGGTCAGCCGCAGCGCTTCGGCAGACTCCTGCTGCGACTGCCCGCCCTGAGAGCCGTTCCTGCCAACCTCATCTCTCAACTCTTCTTCATGCGGCTGGTTGGCAAGACGCCAATCGAGACGCTTATCCGGGACATGCAGCTCTCTGGAAGCTCCATCAGCTGGCCGTACGTGCCTGGACAGTAGATGAACAATCAGAGGACTTGCTCCCTTGTCCCATCTCAGGCTGCTCCCATGCTTCCACAGTAACCGCGTGGATAGATATTGTGTTTTGGGTTTTGTTGATCGTGTATATACTGTATGTCTAAAAGAGATTGACACGTATGTTCCTATGCAGTTTAAATGAGCCATCCAGTACCGGGATACCTCATGTTTCACATCATGACCATCAATTCTGTCAAAAACATTTGACGAGATGAATTAACAGATCCAAAGTTTATTATACCTTCTTTTTCAGAGCATAGTGAACTATTTTAAAGCTAGTGTCGATGTACATTAAGAATCTTTATAACAGACTGCATTTGTGAGTCAAAAATGTTGGGATGTGTACTTGAAAAATCAATGGTGAACAGTAAATGGCTATGTTTAGAATGGAATACTAGCATACTGCACACTACTGTATACTGCTTTATATAGAATAGTATGTGAAACAGTATGAAATATGCAACATTACATGTCCCAAACAGTACTATGCTACATTGTTGTCACATGACCTCATTATATTGCATGTTTATCATGTAAATAGGGTACACTGCATTGTGGGATACAGTATTCTGTGCAGTATGCTGCATATTTTGGCAAATGGCCATCCAGGTATTACACACTATGCACGGAATACAAACTATATACCAAAAACAAAACAAAACAAAACATCAAGAGTAGTATGGTAGTATGCTATTCTGAACATAGACCATGTCCTTGATTGTCCTATTTAAACAGTTCAAGTGAATTTGTCAGTGGGGTGGAGAAATGGTATAAAGTTTTACATTGCTGACAGTGGGAAATATCAAGTATTTTTGCATACTAAAAATAAAAATGAATGATAAACAAAGAAGCTCTTATGTAACAAGACTGTTTATGAAAAAGCGTCCATTTTCAGCGGTGTATTGAGTAAAATAAATAAACTGCAAACAAGAAAGAAAAAAAGATTTGTTTTAACTTTTCATCAGAATTTTATGATCATTGTATTTCCATGATTTAAAAAAAAAAAACTGCAGGCAGCTGTGCATTTGCTACTAATCAGTAGTACATACAAATCAAATACTATGAACATAAAAGCATACCCTTGAGAAAAAGAAGTACGCTACACAGGATAGTATAAAAAAAAAAAAAGAATACTCATTATGGAAATAATATAATTTAGTTGAAAAGGGAAACACTTAAGTGCAAACTGATTGCATGTTACTTAAAAATGTTACTTGCAATGAAGTAAAACTTTATTACAAAGTGCACATTTAAAAAATTTTTTTAAGTGTGTAAAAAAAAAAGGCGTGAAAATGTATTCTTTTAAGTACACTTAAGTTGCCTTTTATTTACATAATAATATATTACCTGAAAGTATTTAAAAAATAGAATATATTCCTACATTTATAATATAAAATATTTTATAAATGAGATTTATTGGGACAATTCGTAGAGTCAATGACAAATAAAGATGCCCAAGAAAAAAAAAAGCTAGTTCCCGTAGAAGAAATGATCTAGTAATATTACACTGACTTTGATTCGGCATTCAAATGTTTTTTTTTCTTCAAATATTAATCATTAAACCTTTTCTTCATTATGATCACACCACCTCTTACTATCTCTAGAAAATGGGTGTAGAATTCAGAAATTGCTAGTAATTTTCAAGTAAATGCTAGTAAATTAATAGCAAAGAAACAGCAAATAACACATTAAATTAAATATGAAAATTTGAAGTAGAAAGACTGAAATAGTATTTTCTTGTAAAATATACTCCAAAACTTTACAACTTTGAAAAATCAATATTTTGCAGGGCAAAAAATATTTTGACTGTTACATACATATGCTGTGTCTGAAATCGTATACTTCCCTAATATATATAGTATGTGAGGCGAGTAGTATGTCCGAATTCATAGTATTAAAAAAACCTACTATGGCGTTATTCTGAAGTGTGCATACGATGGACACTTCACTATCCCATGAGGCGGGGAAAGGCAAGAAACTGACTGAAAAATCGCAGGAAAAAGTGGCTTGTAAACCTGCGTCTGCGGTCGTGAGGAGCCGAGTCGAATAATGCTTGTGTGCGCGCAAATGGTTAATATAAGATAAAAATGAGATAAAATAATATATTAAGATACTAATAATATATCAACATATTAATAAAAAAATAGATATAAATAGATACAGGGCTGCCAACTCTCACGCATTCAGCATTTCACTCAATGCTAAATGCCACACATAGACACGATGTAAATGAGGTATTATATGTGCAATTTGCTTCATTGATTATAACGGAACATTGTGAGATTGTGATAAATTGAAGTGAGTGACAGCTTTTTAGTGATTATATGGAAGCGCTATTTGCGCGCTTTCTTGGCTATAATCAATTCAGAATTTGAATACAAGTTTTGTTTTACTTGCTGCTAACAGGACCAAAGGCCACATATACCCTGCACATGCAGCAAAGGTTCAGGAGTGACATATATCCCGCATCCCTCATATAAATGCGGGAATCATTTTCTAGCTTGTTTGCAATCAGGGTTAGTTGCTTAGCCTATATCCACCGCCTCGATGGCAGGCAAGTATTTCAATTTAGTTGAAAAATCGCTCCTCTTCATAACATAAGGATCACGTCCAACATATGTTGTGATTTTCTCTTTATACCTTTCTCTTGTAATAGTGTCTAAACCAGTACAGTACAGACTTTCCTTCATCTCATCCATTCTGCTTTCACTTCCTGTTCTCATCTATCACGTGATTGCAAACGAGCTATTTTGATGCCTGCTGATTGCAGTACGACAAGCGTTAAAATAAGGTAAATACTAATCATATAGTCATATTTAAAAATGAACACATTAATATATTGTATACTGTCAGTCAATCATGACGACACACTCCCATTTTTATAGCATCAAATAAGTAATTAAAACCAAACTTATAAAAAAACGAAAAAACAAACAAACAAAAACACTTGAACTTACATCAGCGTGATAAAAACTACATAAAATGACAAAAACCATCTTTGGAAAAAATGTATTTGAAGTGTAATTCTTTAATTTGTCTCACGCCCCATTAGATTACATGGAGAGGGTGGGCCACCTGGTGCCGATCGAAACGTTTTGGCTTCACTTTTCAGGACTTGTGTGGCACACTTTCCCTGCGACCCAATGTTTATACTATCCATCCTAAATAGTATGTGAGATTAGAATAAGTGTGTCCCAAAGCATAGTATGTTGAAAAGAGTATGCCAAAAGTCCCAGGATGGTCTACTATTTCAGGAAGATTTTTTAAAGTGTGGATTCGTGCACACTCTAATGGCTAATATTGCCCACAATCCACTGCGCTTTGACGAATGATTCGGTTCACAACTACAAACACGAATAAAAAGCGTTAAAAAAACTACAAACATGGCGGATGTGCGCGACCGACGGAGAGCTTTAGATAAAGGGGTTTGAGTTACTAATAATCAATATTTAACTTGGTAAAAATATCTATTTAATGTTATCTGTGTTATATTTAATCTGCAACAGCAATGTGAACTTTTATAAACATCCGTTTGGCTTTTAACTTGTAAATGCATCATATATAGGCAATGCAAAAAATATGAGCAGAGTTCTCCGAATAAGACCCACGGCTGGCAGATCATCGTGTTACTTTTCTCTCCAATACGGTAGGAAGTTAAATTAAATTAAATGTGGAGGATGTTAAC